AGGAGGCGCCGGAGAAGGTGAAAAAGAAAAACGTCGAAATGTTTCTCTCTCTGGCCCCCAACGGTTAAAATAATATTTTGGCAAAAATTCCAGTTAAAGACCCCATATTAAAATGGGACAAAATTATAGTTTGGTACCCCGTTTTTTTCTCATTTTTTTTTAATCCGTTTTATTATTATTATTATTATTCAGAAATTTCCTTATACGTATTTTATAAATCTTATTTTCAATAATTCTCTTTTCTTAAATAAATAGAGAATAAAACTCATTTATCAAGCATTAAACTCCTTCTAAACTTAACTAAACACTAGGAATAATAATAAATAAAAAATTTGGGATGTTACAATTCGAACATTAAAGTTTATAGTCTATAAATAATATCTCATAATTAGGACCGGAAATAGTATTTACAATGTGTATATTGTGAAACAGCATACTGTTTAAACTTTAATCTTCGAATCATTATTTATCTTAATCTTCACAAAGTATATGTCTTCTTAATCATTAAAAAAAAAAATTCATTTCTTGAGATAATATGGAAGATAAAAAACATGTTCTTCTTATCCAGCATTGCCTCACACACACATGATTGTTGATGATAGAACAGTGTGTTAAAAAAATAAATGTTGATGATTAAATCCACCATAATGAAAATTAATGAGGAAAAAAAGATAAATGCATTACAAATTAACAAAGAAAAATACTTAGAATCAAGTTTGTTATATCCATTAAATAAAATTCTCTAATTATATATGATTATGTATGATTAGAAAAATTGACATAACAAGTATAAAAAACTTGATGTATGCTTCATTAAAAAAATGAAAATTTGGTGGCAGCAGAAAGATTCCGTATGAGGAGCTATAAATGATGAGGCCACTACTTTTGGCATTCATTATGGGTGCATCGTTATCACTTATCCCTTTGTTATTATCACTACTACGTACCAATCTTATACATATATAGGACCAAACCACTCAAATACTATTCAACCGTGTATGAAGTTGAATCAGTTATAAATAAATTCATATATTTTATATAATATATGTTTCAATAATCACTCTTTTTTCTTTTTTCCCCCCATTATTTATTTAGTATAGATAAACACAAATTAATTATAACTTAAAAATATGGATTAGAATCTTTAAAAATAAAACCAATTGTGACTAGCTAGAATGACTAGTCAACCCACCAGTTCTATCGATTTTCACCAATTTGAGGCCTACCAGTTCAATTATTACTTGTTTGGAATTGCTTATGTTAAGTGTTTATAGTATGTTTTGTAGGTGAGATAAAATTTCCTTCACATATTCACTTCATATTTTGTAAATTAGGATTGAGATGTTGCTTTTGGAATTACGTTTAGTCTTTTTATTGATTATTGGGTTTCCCGATTCTCCCTCGTTCTTATGAAACCGAACTAAACCGATTTTGAGTCAAACTGATTGAACTGGTTGGGTCGATTTGGCCCAATAATTCTTAGAGCATGACCACATACCACTATTTAGTAGTAGTATTTGCCTTTGAAATTCGCATTCCAAGTGGTTAAGCTTTTATATCATTCATTATCGATTAGTCACAACTCACATCATCTTTAATAAGTTTTCTTAACTTTTTTTTAATATTTTAAATAAGTATTATTATTATACATAAATTTAATAATTTTACAACTCATTGTATAAATTATAATGCGATTAATAAGTTTCTAAGATTTAATATGCATCATTACAGAATAAACTTGTTTGTTACCAATTTAGATTAATGTGAGGATACGTAGGGACTCTTGTCCTTCAAACAAATGGTTAAGGGTTCAATTCCTAGCTAGCTCTTAGGTAAAATAATCTGGTTGGAGTACTAATTTAATTCCTTTAAAAGGCCTAGTATATTTTAAAATGAAGGAAATAACTAATAAAGAGAATCATTATTACCACTGTGATCCTTAATATAAGTCACTTATAACACATTTTGGCATACCAAAATATACATTAAATTGTTAAAATTGTTCAATTTTATCATTATTAAAGTTTTCTATATATATATATATATTTACAAATCATTCACATATCTGCTTCCTCTTTTTCTCTCTCTCATAATAATTAAATGAGTAAAATTGAAAAACAAACATTAAATATATTACAAGTGAATTACAATTTAAGACCAAAACTTCCCCCTATATAAGTGACTTAAATTTAAAATCAAAGTGATATGTCTCAAAAAAATTGTAATTCCTATAATAAATGAGTAAAATGTACTCCCTTCCATCCTATTTATAAACTTCAAATTTGGAAAGGAATGTAATTCATTTTATTTGGAGTTTATTTAAACACTTAATGCATTTTTTTATTTTGCCTTTAATTATTTATTTTCTCTCCTTTACCTACCCTCTTGTCACATTTTCTCATACATTAACTTTCATCCTTTTTCTTATTTATTATAAGAGCATATTTGAAAATAAAACTATATTTCTAACCTATTTACTAGTTTTAACTAATTTTAACTATTTATTTGTTATTCATAACTTAGTTATCTAATATTTATAACAAGAATAGGTGGGAGTAACGAAAAAAAACTTCAATATAAGAAATTACTGCTCATTTATTATTTTAATATAAAAGGATGGGTGGAGTGTCCACGTGAGCTGCAGCAGCTTGCCCATGTGAGCAAGCAGACATGTTGCCATGACCCTTACGAAATGGTGATGTGCATTTGTGTGTGTTTACTAAATTTACAATTTTACACACACAAACAAACACAGAAACACTCACGCATGCACAAACAAATTACGACATGTCTCTGATTGGTCAATCCTTATCCATACACCCATATGGTTCTTCTTGTTTCTACTATTTCTTCTTCCTTTTGCTACCAAAAATGTTGGTCCACCCATGTCATATATATATATATATATATATATATTCATACATTTTTCAGTCTCATGCAACAAAATAAATTTACAATATATATTAAAGATTCTCTTCCAAGACGGGTTTTTGTAGTTCAATAACATTGAACATATTCCTTAAATCTCTTTCAAGCATGAGATTTTGGTTGGATTAGTACCTTATAAAGAACATAATGAGTGTGTGAGTTATGACTTTGAAAAAAAAAAAAAAACCCCAACTACGGCCATTAAGTAACACAACAAAAGGAACTTCAAAATTTGTGCGCAATTCTATCTTGAATTGGTCTTCAAATTGATTTATTGATTTATATACGTAAGTAGAACTCTTCTAAGTTTATTTATCAACAAATGTAGATTTATTTGATTTCATATTCTAAAAATAATATTCCACCACACTTTTAGACTTAAAAACTAATCAAGCTTTTTCTTAATTAAAATAACTTTTTTATAATTTTTAAACTTTGGTATTGCCAAATAAATGAAATTTAGGTATTGAGGAGCTCAGAAGAAATCTATGACTTTGTCAACGTAATGCAAGCTAAGGTTCGTGGAAGAAAAGGGTGGGAGCCTTCATTTGGATGTGACTTTTTTTTAAAAGCAAGGAAAGGAAAGCAACTCTTTATAAAAGTTGAAATCTTTATAGGAGGCACTTTTAATTATAACATTTTAAGATTATATTATTCTTAATTATAATAATATTACATTCCTAAATTTTCCCTAAAATCTCTCCCTCTTCTCTTTTCTTCAATAAAATCGAATAGGAAATCTGCTCCTCTCTTCCTCTAAACCCTAAACCCCCCCCCCCAAAAAAAAAGAAATTCACTTCTTTTATTGAACCTTGAACCAAACATAACTTAAAGGCATATGAAATCTATTCTACTCAGCCCAACCACATTAGCATAATCCTAAACTAACTTAATTATTAACTAGGTACCCCATCTCATGTTTGAATTCTATCACATACTTTGGACTATATATCCTCTATTTTACAAGATATATATGTAAAACCTCATAACCACCGAAAATCTGAATGAATTAGAAACACAGGTTCCTCAAAACCAAATAAAAATTTAAATGTCAAAGAAGTAATTTAACCCCAATAGAAAAGTCCTCGAATTGATATCTTAACTAGAATAATCTTTTTTTTTTTAATAGAGAATTTAGGACCACAATAATTAATAGGCATAAGAAAATAGCGTATGCATGCCTTGAAGCACACGGTACCTTGTTGGTCTGTGATAACGAAGGGGCAGCACTGTCAACCTCAATCCTTTTACGATACATGTGCTTCTTTTTCTCCCTAACTAATTTTAGGTCGTTAATGGTAAATTGCAAATAACAATTTATTATAATGGCCAAAAGAAATTAATTTATATCTTAATTTATATATTATCATGTTTTTTTAACCTATAAATATATGATTTTTACGTATCATAAGCAAAAATCATGAAGTCCAATATATAGTCCATGACTTTGTGACGTAGATATTATAGAGGACAAGAACTGAGAAGAAGAAACTTCAAATCAAATAATCAATGCTGCAATTTCTCAGCAACTTCCAATGGCACACTTGGCATGCTTTCCAGTGTTCAGCTTGACCGACTATATTAAGATTTTTGTTTTCTTTCTTGCCTAATTTACGGCTTCAAATTGATTTTATATTTCAGCCAACCAAAAATTTTCCCGGAAAAAGAAGGGAACGGCGAGAAAAACCATTGAAGCCATTATCACAGTTCAAATCGGCCCTTCATCTCCAGAAACGTGGCAGAGTGAATGTCTGGTCCGTCAAAACCCTAGAAAAGTGTAAATTTAGAAGCCATTGAAGCTTCCAAAAACCATATCTCTAGAGATATCGAATTTTCCACCCAGGTTTTGCCACTTGCTAAACAAAGTCCCACTCTCACTGCTCTCAGGTTTATCTCACGGAGCTGTCCCCTCAATCACTTCGGCTTCATCATTAATATCAAAAGACAAAGGCGGCACTGACTTATAAATGAAAACTTCAATTCAGTAAAATCAAAATTAACCTAACTCAATGTAAACCCTAGTTAGTGAACCTGTACGTTCGTTCCACTATAAAAACCCATCCATGTCTTGTGTTTCTGCCTATCCACCACCAAATCAACCTTCCAACAACATTCCTTGAGATTCACTCATTACTCTTTTAGCCCTTCAATATCTTCCATCTTCTTCTCCTTCTTCTTCTTCATCAACTTCTGCAGCAAATCTGAGTATAGCAATGGCGAATTCACGCATTGCCAGGTTCATCATGGAGGTGGCTCCACCACAGTATGTGACTGTGATGAGGCATAGAACTTCCAAGATGTCGTTGGATACGATTACTGAAGAGGACCAGAGGGAAATCGGAAGTCCCAACAACGATCATCGTTCTCATGATTCATCATCATCCACTTCTTCATCCTTATTCCCTAAAGCTTCATCATCCGCTTCAGCATCTTCATCATCAGTTTCAATTCCAAGTGCTGATAGCAAGTACTTCCTCAAGGAGGTTCATAGATCCCTCTCCAATTTGAACCACTGAGATGATAAAATCCAGTGAGAAACTTCTGGAAGAAGATGATCCGGCAGAGAGATTCATATCGCAATCCAAATCCTCGCAAAGGAGAGTTTCTGAACTTTTTCTTTAATGAAAAGAAAGAGCTAGTACTTTATGTTCAGCCTTCTTTGTATATATAAGACAAAAATTTTCTCTCCGACATAAAGTATGAATTCTCCAGTACTTGCCTTTTTATTTCAGAAAACTTATCAGGAACTCTTTACTTCAGTGGATCTCCCAAATAATAATAATGTACTTGGTGGCCTTTTTTTTTTTTTTTTCACAATGAGCCATGTTATAACAAATATAGTACGTAGTAATTCATCTTCTTCTACGGCCATGTAATTCAAAGGAGAGTGGTATCGAATAAAGAAATGTTCTATGTGATTCACTCTTCTTTCCTATTTATCATAGCTTTCTGTTCTTATGTCTAATTCCTTTTCTTTTCTCTTTGAATCAAAGGAGCCTTAATTATCAGTGTCTGGCTGATTACACATTTTGCGAGGCATACATGCATATACACGATTTATTATGCATATCATGAGATATATACAATACAACCACCCAGTTCGCTTACGTTCAAATTAGATGAGTGATCTAAATCCTACCACATGCATGTTATTGTTTACCTAGCAAATCTGCACATTTATTTCCTTCGCCGTTCACAAGAATACCTGACGGTTCAGTCCTGATGAGTTAAGTTATCTGTTATATGTCCCAAAGCAGAAGATGAATGCCATTAATTCCTTTCGGAGAGATGTGTGTGTGTGTGAGAGAGAGAGAGAGAGAGAGAATTCGGATTCGCACTGTTGAGGTCAAGAGAAACGAAAACTGAACATTGTCAATGTAATATAGTCAATATACTAATACTACCTCCGCTCATAACTAAGTTACAGTTAACTTATTTAGTTAGATTAGTTAATTGTATCTTATTTTTTCTGAATTATTCCATTATATGCATTTTGGAGCTAGCTCTTGGTTAGAAGCTTCTTAGTATATGTCATCAATATGGATATTTGAACAAAAAATTATAAATTCAGAAGAAAAAATGAATTAAAATATTATACTTAGTATCAACGGAACCCATTGTGTGTTTTTTATATTTATGACCAGAAGTATTATATTATAAAAACTAAATCTTATAATTTTTTGTTTGTTTTTTCAGCCCAAAAAAATCATATCTCTGAAGAGAAAGAGAAACAGAGGCAACATGCAACAATCCGAAGCAACTAATCGTATACTCCACTATTTGATGTCAAAGACATAGATACTCTTACAAATTAGGAGATTTGACAAGGATATTTTAGGAGAAAATATGGAAATTATTAAACAAAGTCTCCCTCCAGTTGTCAAGAACCCGAGTTTCTTGTTAATGTACTTTCAATTACCGTCGGCTGTTCTATTAATTGTTGCTTTACATCCCGATTGTCAACTGTACTGTGTATAAGTTGTAGAATACGTACACACACAATCTGTAATACTCCTCCGGTCCTAAATATAGGACCTCTTTTGTAAGGTCCTATATTTAGAACCAAAGGAGTATCACTTTTAACACATTCTTGCATACTAAGAAATACATTCAGTTGACAGTTTTTCAGTTTTATTCGTATTTAAAATTTTTTTTACATTTACAAATTATATATATGTTCATATGTCTCCATTTTTCATCTTTCTAAAAAAAAATTAAACAAAGGAAAAATTTAAAAAGAAGTATTAAATGTACTATATAAGTGTAGGATAAGTGTACATATATATATTATCTCCGGTCCTTAATATAAAACCTTGTTTGATTTTTATTTTGGTTCTAAATATAATATCCCAATCCACTGTCTCTCATATTTATGTATTTTTTCTCAAAATAGTCCTTCTAACAATAATAGTTCTAGCTAATAAATTTGATTAGCAAAGATATTTTAAGAAAGATAACACCTATTTATTACAAATAACTAACTTAAACTTTTTTTCTTAATCTTTTCAAATTAATCAACTAACCCTTATAATTAGGAGCGGAAATATTATATGAGTATATTTATGCTTTTGTAGTGAATCAGAGCAGAAGCAATTTTACTACTTCGACAAAATCCCTGTTTTTTCTTTCCCAAGCCACCGCCAAAACTTTCGAGAACATCTCAGACACTTCTAGAGCAGTGGTTTCGAGAACATCTCAGACACTTCTAGAGCAGTGGTCAGTGTGGTCATGCTAATGAAAATCACTGAATATTTGTGGACCAACAAATAAACTTGGCGAAAGAGCTGCAAATAACAACCATTAGATTCATAACCTTGACAGCACAATTTATTGTAAAATTGCTCAAAAATAAAACACTCCACGTTTTTCATACAGCCCACGATTGATAGGAGCAGATATTTAATGCACATCGCTAGGGGCTTGCTGAGTTTTGCTGGACCACAATTAGTACATGAAGTTTATTTCACATCAATAACAAGGAAAGGGTTATCAAAACTTTGAATGAATTTTCCGGTCAAAATAATTAATTATGCATTATTTATTAAAGATAAAAATAAAATCATTGTTTTCTTAGAAAAATACATCTAATGATTATAAATGTGTGAATTTATAAGGGGTTTTTTAAAAAAAATTTTAATTCAATTATTTAGAATCTATAAAGGACTTGAAATAAATTTCTATCAACAATCTTAAAACACTTTAAAAATAAGTGTAACATATGAATTTTTATACTTGAGCTTGTTTGTAAGTATTCCTATATGGTGCTCCATACCATTTAGATCTGGTAACAACACTTGAAAAATCATGAAGCTTGAAAAATATTTTAGGGAACACAGCCCTTTAGCATCTTAGTTCTTCGAGGGCCTCTTTTGGTCATTGGACCTCCTACTTGTTCATCTCCGCAAATGCCCCTTGATTTGCATGCCATATATGTTGCCCCTTGCCACGTAAGTGCCACATGGGATGCCATGTGGGATAGGATCTCAAACTCCATCAGACATTCTCCATGGCTTACTGAGATTTTCTCTAAATAATAAGCTATTCTTTTATGTGACGGTGGATGAGCAGCTATTCCCCTCTATGATCTTTTTCACTTGTTTTGTTTGCTTGAGAAGTCTCTGAACTGATCTTGGGTTTCTTTCGGGCTTCCGAAACTGTCTCTTTAAATTTTTTCAGCGCTGAGCAAAGAGAAATCAAAACCAGGTTTATTTCATCAACAGGAACGATCTGTACGACAATGTTCTATTTATAAGCCCAACTGAAAAACACCCACTCCCTTCAAGTAACCAACCCAATGTTAGTTAGTGACTACCCTTTATTCATAACAAGTGCTGCATCAGAGAATGAGAAACACAGCCAAGGTGAAATGAAAAAGGTGATGCTACTCCCACCAGGGCAAAAAGTAAAAGAATATCAAGCAACGTTTGATTTGCCCAAGTTACATAAAAATAATGTGGCAAGAAATTATGCTCTTTCTCAACCAAATCAATGCAATACCATATTTTCATGCGTTTCTAAGGTAACAAACAAGGTTGCAGAAGATCAACACTGGCATACTGACAACACTGATAAGAAAAAGTACAAATCTCATAGATGAGCGGAATCACTCTGGTATAAGTCAAGACATATTTCCCATTTTTTGATTGTGAAGGACAAAAGTACAAGAATCAATAGACATATACCTGATTGGTAAGTAGCATGTAGTTCTTCAATCAAACTGGAGGGCAGAAAGTGTTCACAGCAAGAACTATTATCAGCCTTCTGCAACAACTTCTTAAATCGTCTAGCCTGCCACATGGTCATGAGTTCACACCATTTTGAGATGGGTGCAGTTGTCAAATATCAAAAGGACAACATAAGAAACTATATGGACTCTTCCCCCCTGCAAGTTTTATCAGGAAATGTAAGGAGCACCAAGACGTCCTTTCCCAGGAGCAATTCATCAAGCCCGATATATAATAATTACATTTAAGCTTGAACACATGCCTAAGTAAACTAAGATCAACTTCCTCCATTGGATCCTAGAGCCATACAACATGGACTGAACATGAACAATAGTGACCAAAGTTAAAAGAAACTACTCTTCAACCAACCATGACTGAAGATGACTTCATACCTCATCTTTGGACAGCAGTGTGAAGCAACGCCCAGTATGCCCAGCTCTTGCCGTCCTACCAGCTCGATGAACATAAGTCTTTATGTATTTTGGCATGTCATAATTAACAACATTTCTCACCCCTTCAACATCCATTCCACGAGTCATTGCATCAGAAGACACAAGCACTTGAAACTCCCCTTTCCGAAATTCCTTCAATGTCTTACTGCACATAGAATATAATTTTCATAACTGTCTAAGCATACCGAATAATAAAATGCACCAAAATTATTAAAAACTAAAAAATAAACAATATTTCAACCATAATCTGTATCATAGTGGCAAATAGAATGCAGAACACTGTGGGTTATGGTATACAAGCAGAAACAATAATATATAATCCTTTTAGTTCACTATAAGAAAAAAGTCTCTGATTTCTTTCCTTGTTTTTCTTTCACGAGGGCTAATTTCTTTCCCAGCACGCCAAGTTTGATCAATTTTCAAATATAGTCTTCTTTGATGATGACGAGGATGACAACAAGAAAGATGGCACCATAGTTTCTTTCCCCAAACTATCTCGTTCTTTCATTTAAGGTCATCAGTCGGATCTAACTCATGGTATTTCCGTTTTCATATTTTCCCCCTTCTCCTTTTTTCCTACCTTCACTAACCCACACATTCACTGAGCCTTGCCGAAATGTGTAACACATGCGCTCACATTGCTCCTCCTTAAAAGCACAAGACAAACAAAAGATTGCACCTTTGTCCCAACAAGCTTATGTAACAATGAACTGGATTTAGCTTGGAGAGTGTCGTTGAACAAGAGGTTTCAAAAGATGCCGTTTCATAAAGGCATTCCAAAGGATGTCCAAGACACCATGTGGCTGAATAATCACAATTTAAGTGACTTGTGAAGTTTCTAGTGCAACGGGCATTTCTGCATGTTTTTAAGTGTCAATGCTTGATATGAGATCATGCACAACTCAGAATACAGTTTACAGTAAAACAGTGTACTTACCTTCTCACATGTTGACGTCGAAGACTAGAATACTCCTTGATCTTAATTTGAAGATCACTGAAATAGTTCAGTAATTTGCATAGATGATGCGTTGAATCCACAGATTTTGTGAAAACTATGCATTTTTCTCCTCCCAGTGATTTTAAAAGGGCAGCCAAATACAAGGGTTTGACCTTTGTTTCGCAGATCTACACACACGAAGTGAAGAAATTAAATTTAAAATTGCGAGTCGCTATCAAGTGATCACCATCACTCAAGAATGACTCCAAAGAATTCGGGGGTGAGGGGTACATATCATCCTATAAATTAAATTCAACCATCCATATTAATAAAATATAATTTGAAATAGAAGAAGCTAAAAGCAAGCAGCCATGCTAATTTCTGGAAATTAAATTATACAGGAATGATTCCAACTTAAATGAATTCATGGCCATAAATTCATACACATGATATTCATGTTTTAATGTCATACCACTTTGAGTGATTCCAAATTTTCTGGAAGCCTATAACGCATTTGCCCAGCTTTCAAGAATACTGGGTGATGTAGATCAAGTTGAACAAGCTTTCCTGGGTCCTGGGTTATTGTTGCAGATAGAACCATCTTTGCCAACCTGGGGTAAGGTTTATCTTTAAATCCCCTCTCAACCCCACTGCAGGAGATAAAAATAAACATATTATGAAAAAGAACATATATGAGCTATTATTTCTCTTGTATCAAAGGGAAGAAAGTATAACAAAGGGACAAGAGCTAACATTGTAAATAGGCTAAATGTTTAAAAAAAAAAAAAGACGCTAAGATTTCAATAGTTCAAGAAGTGACAGCATTCCAGGATCAGTGGCCCAAGAGTACTACTAGAAACTTCATGTCCCGCTTAAAACTATATGTAACAGTGTGAGCAGACTGATAAGCGTCAAGAAGGATTCATAATTCATAAAATAGATAATTTAAAAATATAGTTAAGGCCGACTTATACCAACCAATTATCTTGGCAGGACTTGAATAGTCTTGTGGTGGAGAATGGTTTATTTACTCTTTTCTTGTTGCCACTCAATTATTTGAAAACAGCCCATATAGCAGAGTCTGAGAACCCAGATAATAAGATCTCTCAAATAAACCCCATTATAACTAAAACGTTATTGATAAACCATACATTAATAATATATAGTATTCAACAAAGCAACCGACAAGGCAATCTCTAGTTTGTACATCTTGGAAGCATTTCTTCTAGCTAATATAGTCATTAACACAAATTCAAAGAATCAAGGTAAACCACTACAATTTGTCTATTTAACCTAGATTTTTTTAAAGAAAAGAATCCAAAATCATGTTTATGATCTGATGAGACAATATTTTCTATGATAAGAACACAACAAAAGACAGGTAAATGAACTTAGAACTTACCATCTCCTTCTAGTGCTTAATGCACTAAATGAATTACGAAGAACTGAACCAGCAAGTGGATAACTATTCTTGTCCTTAGATCGAGTTAGTTCCAATACAGTAGGTAACCACGATTGGTAGGCCTCCCGGAGAAGCCGATCTGTTTCATCAACCACCTGACATAATTTACTTGGTTCACATGGTTCAATGTACAATGAAAGAACTCCGACTTAACGTACATCAACATTTAATTCTACATATGATACACAATAGCCAAGTGCTTCATTTTCATAGCCAATTTGCATCCACAGTTCCATACACACAATAATTGATAAATAAACATTATAAATAAATAGCCCTATGTGTTCCTCTGTTTCCTATTGCCTTTAGGGGTTATTTCGAGCCACATTCTAGAAGGTCTCTATGGCCCTAAATATAATTTTGTAATAAGTCAATGGCATTAAATCCTCTTTTCCCACAAATGCCCTTATTGACTGTGTTTTAGAGAGAGATGATATGAGAAAGAAATTAAAGGTGCTTAAGATAGATTGATTTTAATTGAAGGATAATCGTGGAAAGTAGTAATAATTCTTAACAATTTTAATGATACAAACTACTCTCAAGTTTTAACTAATTTCCTTAATCTGTAACAAGTAATTAAAAAAGTGTGTTATATTAAGGACCAGAGAGAGTAAATTGCTGTTGATATCTTCAATGTCTGACTATGGCCTTATAGATAGTTTCACAACTAACATTCAAATATACTAAATGCAACAAAAAAAAATTCTTTATGACATCATGTTTCATATAGTTATCTGATATTTTCATCTCTCTTGAAAGGAGTAAGTATCCTTAAGCACTCTTTCCTGTCACTTAATAAAATATGAGAAGCAATATGAAATGAATTAGGACAATGTCCTTAAATATTCTTTCTGCAATAAAAAATGAAATACAAAATCAAGAAGCGACATACAAATATTAGAAGTAATATGTATCCACAACTTACAAGATAATAAAGATGCTCAAGTGTAAACCCTTTAGTGGTGGTGATGTGATCCATGAGCCTTCCAGGGGTAGCTACCAATATATCCACCTTACTTTGGAAGCCCAGTTGATAACTAAGAGATATATCTTCTGGATCGTAACACATGCCTACCTCATATCCTGGTATGTCCACAAGCTTAGAAATCTCATCAGCTATTGAAGATTGACCAACAGCCAAGCCAACATGTAAACCTAACGGAGACGCAATGGCATCAAAAACTTCTTTGACCTGAGTGACAATGGAAATTAGGGATAATATGATGGTTCATTTTAATGACAAAATGGATTATTCATCTTTGATTTCACATTAACACAAACAAAGATGAAATGCAAAAGGTTGATGTTTAAAAGAACATACATGATTGATGGGTTGAATTAGTAGCATTGAGGGGGGAAAAAACCAAAAATAAAAATAAATAAAATATTTTTAAAAGGACATCAAGGAAGCTATCCAACCTGTAAAGCAAGATCACGAGTGGGCACCACCACTAAAGCTCGCAAGCATTTTACAACACGGTTTGAAAGCATTTGCACAATTGGCAGAGCATAAGCTAAAGTTTTTCCACTTCCAGTGGGAGAATTTATACAAAGGTCTCGCTCAAAATTACCAGGCCCAACTGTCTCCTCCCAAACTGCAATTTGCACAGGAAAGAGCCTAGAGATGCCCATATTCTGCAATGCCAACTTCAGCCTGATGTATGTAATAAAAAAACAAAAACAAAATGAACCGGAAGTAAAAACACTAAGAAAACTCAGAGTAGCATCATATGTGGACTAATAGAATGCTTAGCCTTCACAAGAAACAGAACCAACTTTGTTTTATTCCAGAGATTAAAAATGATGCAGTAGAGGGAATGAGATACTGACGGAACCCAAATATGGGGGGATTAAAACTGTCAAAAAGCATTCGAGAATCTTGGATAATAGTTATTTGCAGGATTAGAATGATTACATGGCAGAGAAGATCTTTCATTGGACCTTTAAAAAACTTTAGATTTTGGTCCAGGTACTCACCCAAGGCAAGGCCCCAGATCCCCTCAGCATATGTCATCCATTGCTCAAGAACCAATATGAGTGCAAATCATCAGCTAAACACGCAGTCTTAATGAAGATCATCATGTTCCACGGCCAAATTACAATTATTCATTTAGTGTCATATTTTGCATCAGTTTTCATGTGTATGCCTTCATTTCAAGAAAACAACCTATACTGGTTTATACAAATATAAAGTTCTGGTTTATATAAAACTCAAGTTCATGATATCATTTAAAACAAGAGAAGCAAATAGGCATGTCATTTCTAGAGAAACCCCCTTCCCTTCTTTTCCCTTCTTTAATTATCCTAAGCAGAGACCACATTCTGCTAAAGCCAAATGCAACGAAGTGCCAAAAAGAGAGTAAATGTCCACAGAACATGAATATCAAGCAATTTTATGATGATAGGCCATTCATGAAACGGAATTTGATCACATGTCATTGAAAATCAATGAAAATAACCCTCCTACAAACTGGAAGGTCAGATTGATATGAGCCCATCCAGTAGTTAGTCGCTCCACAAATCACAGAGTCTATGAGCCATCCCTAACAAGAAAAAGAAAATTGAACACGAAAACTGCTAAAAAGAGAAAAAAGAAAAGAAAAGGTGACCCAAAAGTGCAACTTCCAAACAAGAACATGGAGGCTCTAATTCCGCATTCTCTACATCAACAGTTCATCAAAGAGATGCTTTTTACATTCAATAAGTCCAACAATGGCAAAAGAAGAAAGTAATATCCTAGTAAGGAAAAAATGACCCAGAGAACCCAACCATGCAGAATAACACTTCTATTTATACTAATATTGAAAAGTTGAAAGGATACAATCTGTGGCACAATTAAGAAAAAACTGCAAACAAGCAAGGCAATAGAATGAATGAGTACTTGGGGTGAAGACAAGGAACACATTCAAGAGGGCATTCTTCAGATAGAGTCACATCAACAGGGTCCCGCATCCATGGCAGAACTGGCACACTTTGCTTCCGCTCACCCATCTTGACTTCCTTCAACACCAAAACCCTTCAACTGCAATGGGGTTTAAGCATTGACAAAAATAAAAAGCGTGCAAAGTCTATACCGCACCATTTTGAAAACAAATGAAAATGCCAAAAAAAAAAAAAAACACGCGCGCGCGTCAACAAAATAAATATAGGGTAAGGGAAAAGTGATCTTTTGTCCTCAATTTTGAAATCAGTCCCTATGGTTTATGTGGAAAGACAGCATCATCAAAGAAGACAAAAAGCATCAAGGAAGGACAGCATCAAACACTCATAATGGTTACCCTTACATTTGCTGCTGCATCATTTCTTTTGTTTCAGTTCCTTCACTTTGCTTTTACTTGTACATGATTACCTCTCATTTGTGAGATTGCAGCAATTCTCTAACATGGTGCATTAATTTGCTCTTCCGTTTCTTTCATTTTAGAAAAGAAAAGAAAAAGATATACGTTGGCGAAAGTTAAATGCTTTTCCTATCATTAAAGCTCTTTACCCAAACACTCTTCCCCAGTTTCCCCGAAAGGTCCAATTACTTTCTTAACCACCCATTTTGCCTCTCCCATCATTCATATGCATTTACAAACAGGTTCTTGTAGGTAGGTAAAAAGAACCGCATTTAACGATAATTACAGCAACATGAATGTCAACCTCACCTTAGTTACAAACCAATGCCACTTGTTCAATCTCCAATGCTGTCTAATTACTTTTTTCTGTTCAGATGCCATGACATTTGATGATTCCTTCCCACACATATATGCTAATAACTTAATTTGATGACCAAATATGCCCAAAGTTAGACTTTTTCTCGATATGCCAAGAAAATAGCGGTGGTACATTTTCATTTTCTGTTCGATTCGAATACTGCAGAATATTATAAAGCACGCACCTTTTTGTCATCCTCTTACTCTTATTGTTATTTCTTAACTTAAAAAATCTAGATAAAAGGCCGAGGTCAAATGAGAAGACACCAATACAATGAACGTGTGGGCTTGAATGGAGGGAACTAGAATAGAACCTTACCAAATGAGGAGCTAAAGGGCAAAAACGGCGCTGAGAACGGCAGTCATATAAGACTTCGAGAACGGCAGAGAGGCTGAGACTTGAGAGTGAACGCGAACGTGACGGTGAGACGCGACAGCGAGCCGAGCCGAGGGATTGAGAACACGAGCTGAGCAGCAGCAGCGGGAGAAGTATGCGGAGTTCGAGGGGCTCTGAAAGGAAAGGGGAATTCAATTAGAGCCCAGTCAAATGAATTAAATATAAAAAAATCTTTTAAAATCATGAGATTATTATGAAGTGTTAAAAAAAAATTTTGTAATAAATTATATTTGTTTAATTATTAATTTTTTTTTAAGTTTGTATTGACAACTGAAAGAGCAGTGGTTGACAATTTAAAGTGTAAGGATTCACAACACATTTTCTCAACATATCACACCCTAAGTTGTCAAACCAACTGCGATAGTTGTTAATCCTTACATCCTAAGTTGTTAACCACTGTTTTTTTAGTTGTCGATGCAAACTTTTTTTTAAAAAAAAAAGAAGAAGGATAATTTGGTAATTAAACAAATAAAATTTATTACAAAAAAGTCTCTTGAGATTTCAAAATAATTTCATAATTTTAAGGGACGTTTTTGTATTTAATTTTCTTGGGTGGGACCTAATTGCAATTTTTTTCTTGTTAATTTTATTTATAAAGCACTTTGTTTCGCACAAACTAAAGAAAACTTTAAATTTCATTAATTCTCATTTAAAATTTAATAACTTTTCAACTTTATTCCTATTTAATATACATTATACTACATGTAAATAAAGTCAATACAATAATAAATAAAGGATAAAATTATACATTCATATAAAAAAAAATTTCAGTATCCTATAAATATGACTAAAAATATTTTATCTCTCTGTCTTATAAATAAGATCAGAGAGGTATGTCTTAAAATGCTCCTCTCTTTAACGAGGGTTTAAATGTGAGAAATTAAGAGAAAGAAACTATGGAATTAATAAGGGCATTGTGAAAAATAATACTCCCTCCTCTTTTTTTAATAAAATCCTTTTAACTAAATTATATAATTTAAGAAAACAACTAAAATTGGTTAAAAATAATAAATATATTAACAAATTGAATTTTCTTAAAGTATGTTGTTATTTAATAAGATAGTAAATAAGAAAAAAATACTAATAATAAAATTAAAAATTAAAAATGTAATTAAAAAATATGAGAAGAAATAAAAGAATATAAATTAGGGGAAAATTTTATAAAAATATATTTAATATTCAAACACTCTTAAACAAGATTTTACAAAAAAGAATTAGAGGGGAAATTAAATGAGAAAAACAGAATAAATCAAGGTAAAACCAGATTTATTATCTAAGTAGGATTAGGGTATTTTGGATTCGTCATTTAATTACGACTTTTAATATGTGGTTTTTTAATTTAATTTGAATGGTTTAAATTTAAAATTTTAAATCTCTGATTTTTTTAAATAATAAGTTTATTTGTTTGATAGTACACAACTATTTTAGATTCTGCATAAACTAAAATAAAAGCATTATTTAAAATAAAAAATTAATGATGGTCACAGAATGTGTTTCCATGACAACTTAATAAGCACTCTCCATAAAAATTACAGTCAACACGTATCTATCCTCCAATTATATATATATAACCTTACCATGCTCAAGTTGCAATCCCATAATCCCTAATGCTACCTGAAGCTTCATTTCATTGGCTTGGAGTAAAGAAGAGCGAGAAGGTTGAAGAAGTCACAAGAAAAATCACATAATCAATGGCTTTATTAGCATCATGTGTGCTTGTGTGTGTAATCTTGATCTATGAGATTATGCCAAAAAGTCACCACTGCAATGAGATTATAATTGAACCATGTCTAAATCGAAATTTGATTGAAATCATCTAAATTGAAAGTTTTTTATTTGTCAATTTTTAAAAGATTAAATTTATTCTTTTTTAAAATGTCTGCTGGCATATTGTTTTTATTTTAAATTTTGTACATGATAAAATAAAAACGTATCCTATTAAATTTTGACCTTTAATTAGTTTTAACATTAATTTTTAATCTTAAAAAGACATGGGATTATAACCAAAAAAAAAATTTTTGCCTCAGATTTCACAATTTTTTGGTCCTCGTTCACTGCTCATCATTATCATGCAACCTTAAGAAAGCGACCTCCTGCGCTCAGAAAAAGGCGATTTGCGGTGTTCGAAGATTTGACGGCGACGGGCATTGATGCGGGAAGACAGGAGGCAAAGAAAAAAAAAAGGCCTGCTGATGGGCCTGATATGGGTAATGGGCCGGACAGGACCTCTCAATTGGGCTCACTGTGTGGTCAGGAGAACACGGCCTTTGAAAAAAAATAGATTAATTTGATGATCTCATCCCCAAGTGATGGTTTTGTTTTGTCTGCCATAAAAAGTCGTATTCATCGATCGTAACTTTTTCACATATGAGGGGAGTTTGGGATTTGAGAAAAATATTTTTAAGAAACACTTTTTATAAATCAAGACAAATTTTTTTTATATATTTACTTCGTATACTATAAAATTACCTTTAAAATTATGGTTTGAGTTCTATCCAAATACCTCTATTAGCTAGGATATTCAAATTTTGGCTGAGAGAAGAAGAAAGAAAAAGCAAGCTAATTGCTTCATAATTGTTGATTGTTGAATTCCTTAAGCACTTAATTTTGGTATAAACTTTATATTAACATGTTAGGATTTCAGTGAGTGCCCGAGTGGCAATATATAAAGCTTAATTAGCACTAGCTTAATGGTTTAATTAAGCTGGATGGGATCTAGTGAGGCGGCTGTTCTCATTAATTGGAAGCAATAGTAGTTGCCAATACTCCCGTGGTTGGTCATTTCATAAAGTCAAATTCTTTCAATTTCATCATAAAAAAAGTTATTAAACTCATAAATATTAGTTTAGTTGGCATTTAATTTCATTTTTCTTAATCAAAACCTCACTGTTATATAATTTGTTCTTTGATGTCCATAATTCCATTTAGAGTTAATTAGTCTAGATTTCAAAAAGGAGAATTCGACTTAAATTATTGGCCACTACACTACAAATTAAAGGAGTTAGCTTAGTATTAATTTGGGCGTTAAGCAGCATGGGACATTAAAGAATAAGACAAGTGCACATAATACAAGCTAGTTAATACTCTCTCTGGTCCTTTTTTTAGGAGCTTGAAATTTGAATTACCCCAGTCTTTTGCATAATAGTTTAATTGAGGTTGTCTGAACATTTAAAATATTTTTTTTCCATTTTTACCCTAATTAATTTTATATATTGCATTTTTATCATTTAAAGGTTGACAATTTTATACATATACACTATCTTTCATATTTTCTTTCATTATTACTCTATTTCTCTCTCTTACTTACCCCCTTATAAACATGGGCATATTTGGAAAAAAATTATTTCTTACATATTTATTACTTTTAACTAATTTTAATTGTTTTTTAAAATTATGTCATTTAGGACCCGTTTGGTTTAACTCCATTGCAGGTGTGTAATGGTAATCTTTATTACATTACCATAAATAACTTCTTTGGTTGGTCTTATTGATGGTAATTAAGATTGCATTGGTAAAGAAGATTGCACATTTTTTGGTAATATCTATTCATAGGGGGATCCCTATAAATACTTATTACATGTATGTAATCCTCTAGAATTTTACCCTTAATAACCTAGATGAAAAGGCAACATTTACCCTCAACAAGTATTATCAACCATCATTATCGGCCACATGTCTTCTTTCCTCACCTCCTCCTTCATCTTTATCAATGGTTTTCTTCGTTGAGTAGACGTGCTATTTATTGTTTATCAAAACCCATCTATTGGAGTTTTCTTCCCTGCTACTTCATTGTGGGTTTCCCATCATCATGTTGTCTAGCTTTAAATCAATGTTTGATTTCATGGACTCGCTCATTCACTCAATGATCTAGGTTTGTGGTTTTAAATTTGATTGAGCATATTTCTTAGGACTATTATTTGATTGGATCAAGCGCTTAATGTATTTAATCCCAAGTGAAAAACGCAACTATCGTGGGTCAAATGGCAAATTGGTTATAGATGATGCTAATGGCATAGGCAGAGGAA